GACACGGACACACAGACACACACACAGACACACACACAGACACACACACAGACACACACACACACATACACATACACAGACAAACTCACACACACACACACACACACATACACACACACACACACACACACACACACACACACACACACACACACACACACACACACACACACACACACACACACACACACACTCCCAGACAGTCACACAGACAGGCCGAAAACAATAAATTTTCATGTAGGTAACAACTGTTACAATAGACAAACTCACCAGGTCTAAGGAAAAGACGATGCCATAACTGCAAGAACTCTTTTGCAATTAGCTGGCTTCATCACTGCACCTGTATCTTAAGCTTTCCAAAAAGCATTGTTCTCGCTTCATTAATGGTATAAGACATAATGACGAGCTCATTGCATTAGCTGTTTAAATGTTACAGAAGAACAGTGCCAGAGTGGGTGGGTGGGATACAACGTCCACTGCTACAAGTTTAAGAGACAGGAACTCACTTGGAACGACGCGCTCACAGAGTGTGGAAAGGAAGGTGCAAACGTGGCCTCCATCGCAAACCGTGGGGAAAACTATTTCATTGCAGGTCTCAGCTTGAATGGTGGGTAATAAGCAGCTTGTCATCAATTATGTCATTCTATTCTAGATTCTAGAGATTAAGATTTAACCTACATTTTATCTGAGATTAGGAAACTGAAGTAAATTCTCATATAGCATACTTTATTGCTTTTTTCATATACTTGTAAGATTCAGCAACCCTATCGACAAGGCCAGACATTATTGTAGACAAATTTCCCAGAATTGTTGTTCATGTTGCCTGCCTGTAGCCCCACGTGCTGTGTGGATTGGACTTCGTAGACGTGGAGACTCTTGGATATGGACGGATGGGTCACCACGCAGATATGCCAACTGGAGACCTGGTGAGCCTAACAACTTCAAGACTATCTTCAGTGGTGGAGAACACTGCGTTTCCATGTACTCTAAGGTGGGTGGTTCCTTCTATTACATACCAGTAGTGAGACCTCTGAAGGGCAGGTAATAAAAATACATCTGCTTATCTTCAGAGAATGGAAAATGCTGTTTTAGGTAGGTTCCGTCTTATTCCATTGAAAACAAATAAACTCTCCCCTGTCTTCTGTCCTGTGCTGTCCTTCGGGCTCCTTCCCAAGTGATGCCCATCCCTTGTAAGTCTCTCATGACAGTTTTTCCCAGGTCAATGGCCAGAAGAGATACCTACTGTTAGTCACCATGGCTACTGTTGTTTGATTTTCAGCAGTGCGTTTGAGTGAGAATGAACAGAAATGCATCATTTTGTTGACATTTTCATTTGCAATTAACACGTTTAATACATTTCTTTTATTATTTCTTGCAATAGATATTATTTGATATATTTAAGTTTCGCGTCTACCAATAATATATATCCCAATGCAATATAAATATTTTATCACTTTCTTTGGATATCTTCGGTTTACGTTTTTATCAGTTTTCTTATTACATATTATTTATGTGACATTTCCTACAGGATGGCAGGTATTTGGTAGGTACATGGAAAACAGGAGAGTGGAATGACGTACGATGCCGCAACAAATATCCTTTCATTTGCAAGAAGCTAAAATCATGGTACTAGTAGTCTTGTGGATGTAAAAGAATACTATTCTGCTACAGGTTTCTGGGACTGCAGTAGCAATAATTAAGGTCTTCATTCCTTATTGTGATTCTTTTGTTATGTATTTGAGAAATATTCCAATTTACCTTACAGAAATATAACTTTTTGCCAGTGATGTTTTGCTTTTTCCTATCATAGCACAGACTTAATTTGAATGGTAGGGTTACTGTAACACGTAGCTTGTACGAACTAAATCATGCTGCACTGGAGCACACAGAGAATTAAGAAAGTAATGAAAATGTCAATTCTATATTGAACTTATGAGTTGACATGCTTTTACCCTTGAAAACATTTTCGGGGTATACTTGTTGCAGGTTGCTGATCATTCAAAATGTTAGTAAACACGTTAGCGAAGAGTTACTATGACAACCTACATTTAGAAAACTGTAAACAGTTTTGCATGATATCCTTTAACTGCTCAGTTTACACGTCCTCTAGGGGAGAAGGGTCTGATGCTATACACGTACATGTAAATAAAAGAGGGTATATAAGAATTGCTCTTTAACTTCACAATCAAAAGTTCAAATTGCAAATTAATAATTTATCTGATGATTCATCATCTTGCCTTGAAAGAAGCATTCGCATCGAACACCTCATGTAAATTGTACTTTTTTTCACAATTGTACGTTGCAGGCAATTATGTAAGGTAGTTCCTTTGATGTTAGGACACAAAGCGCCTGTCATGTTACTGTTCCGATGTTCCTCCAACAGAGGTTGTGAGACACTCGCCTTGCATTGTGGTGTTAGTTTTAGTGAATAAAGAAAGGGAGTGCCTGGCTGCTGAGAGGGGGACGACACTGGACAGAGAACAGTCACAGGTTGAATCCTCCAAAGCGAGCCTCCCGTGTGTGTGTACCAGCCATGCCTGTGTCCTGTGTCTGTTCTTCATATAGCCATGTAGACAGTCTCTCTAGCAGCATCCCTAAGAACCCGGCTAGGGTTGCACAACAACAACTGGCCCCGCAATACAAATCTAGCTGCACATAAATGCCGTTTTAACAGCAAAACAAAACAAGGACGTTCTACCTAAACAAACATTTGCTTTTGATATTCATAATTGTAGGGTCAGAAAGGACGCTGTAGAGTCTCCCTCGTGATTATTTTATCAATTGTTGGCTGATACTATATGCTCTGATGAGCAACGCAAATGATATCATCTTCAAGAAGACCTGGATATCTCTGATCTCCACTAGGGCTGGGGTATATGCTTTGAATATTTTCTCTATTGTCTATGGGGTTCCCACATATACATACTAGTATTAAGATGGCCCTGACGTACAAGACCTGAAAGATTATGCTATAAAAGATGAAATCAGTCCAATCAACGAATACATGGAAAAAAGTATCTCTTTATTCTGCCTTTTTGACAGCCAAGCCTCTGTGATAATAACAGTTCTGTACAAGATTGTTCCTACGGTAGAATAAATAAAATAGATGTAAGCACTGACTTGGTCTAAAATACACTGATTCCTATACATGTGGAATAGATACACATTCTCTTGTACAAGTCCGGTGCTTGTGCAAATGTTCGGAAAGGTCTCTGCATCGGGCATACTTCCCGATGCCACCCTAGTCTTACATTCTATTGCAGCTTGACTTTTTCTTGTCAAACATTTGCACACTTCCATTGCTCCTCTCTTAAAGCGAAGACCAGATTCTTCCGGTTTTCGTGGAGATTTTTTCGAGTTTGGTGAAGATATTCTTATGCTAGATAGCACCGACAATTATACAACAGCCCACCGATTTGGTAATAATACAAAATTTCTCCCAAGGGGCATAACATAAGTTCTTCACCCATTTAACATACAAAGAGCTGTGGGTGACCTAGATGTTGTTTTATTTCTCGAAGAAAGACCCTCAGAAACTTGATACATAAAACACAACTGCTTCCTTTAAAGTCTTCAAAGCTGTCTCGGACACAAAGATATTTTGCACAACCAAGCTTCTGCTATTGCAAGGTGGTCAATATATTTGCAATGAATCTATCTCTTCTTCATCTAAGCTACTTGTCCAAAAGTAGGCATGTTCAATGACCTGGCAGCTATGAAAAAAATTTACTACATTGCAGTTCAAGCTGACCTAGTCCATTTGCTATGAAAAATGTAAAAAAAAAATCACCACTCAATGTGAATGATTAAAAAGGACAGTTGCTATTGCATGAACAGTACAAAAAGCAGTATTGTGCAATTGTATAGAACACAAATAACAACATGAGAATGACCTAAAAGTGCTAGATTTGGCTTTTTGATTCTACAATTTAATGATTTCTTTTATTACCAAAATTCAATAATAATTTCATTATTCCCATTAATTTCGTCATCTACTCTTCTCATTTGCCACATCTGTATTCATTAAATACCTCCAGTTTAAAAAAAGGACAAACTGCAGAATTGCATTTTAGACATTAGCAGGTCATTAAGCTTACAACAACAATTTTCTATCAATTTTGGGCTGACGCCTCTTGTAACGATAGTTGAACCAAATACGGTTTGAAGGAAATGCAGTTGATTCCCAACGCTTCAGCTATTCCACAACAGTTCCTGTGGGATCTGTGACCGATACTAAAAGACTCTTTTGAAGAATAACTTGAGGTTGTCTATTGCACCCTGGATGTGTTCCCTCTCTTCGTCCAGTTGTTGTTTGGTTCGGATTAGATCCTAAGGGGGAGGGAGAAAAAAATCTTTCAGCTAATTGTCAACTAATTGCACACATATTTTGAAGTAGGTTAGTTAGCCGAAGTAATTTAGAGATTATCTTGGTGCAAAAATCTCACATAATGCCCCCTTAGGCCACACCAATTTAATTAATTGGTTCTTGGATTTCCCACTTCATTGCTGATTTAAAAAAAAAATCAGATTCTGAATCAACTCCAAAATGCTTACATTTTGGCCCCTACGGTTGTCTTCCTAGTTGTTACCTTTACCATTGATCAATGCATTGCTTTGACAAAAAGTTAAAAATTTATTGCTTGAAACATAAACCAGCCTGGTATGTTGACTTTATAGCTCCTATCATAGCTTTTGGGGCTATCATAAGAAGCCTAGACCTGTTTTTATTTTTGCTGAAAAATCCAAGAACCAACAAGTAAACTAGTTTGGCGTTAACATGACAGATGAGTATTGGTTGATGTTTACTGACCGACATCCTGAGGCTGAGAGTCTCGGCTGTTCTGTTCAGACTGCTGTGAGTCGTCTGCAGGTGGCTGAACTGGCCCTGCAGGACCTCTCTCTCCAACTCTTGTTCTGGAAAAAAAAGGACAATGAAGTTTATGGCATACTCAAATTAGTAAGTTACTACTCAGCAAGTAAGCAAGTTAGACTAGGCAGATAAAGGTTGCGTTCTCAGGCCAATGAAAAATTTTCACTGTTTACAAAATCTCCATCGAGCAAATGCTAATCAATTTGCTGATTCGATTGCTGTTGTGCATGGCAATAAAAAAAATAGAAATCTGTTTAAGGCAATGAAGGGTCTTGACAAACAAACAGCCCAATCCGTTAAATCATTTCCCCAGTTAGAGAAATTCTGCACAATTTAATTGATTTCTAACCTTGTGAATAACGTTGATAGGCTTCCATGATGACGGCGACACCTGGCCAGTTCATGCGTCCCTGCCCCTCCCCGTTCCCATCGTCCCTGTCCGTGGCTTGCTGTAAGAGCGGCAATGGAGCGTGTGTAGGAGTGGCGCGGGCATGTCGTGGCCAGCTCTCCTGGGGAGCACTGACGGGTTTCTCCGGTTGCTGACCGACGGGCATGCTGTGGACTGAGAAAGAAAAAGAAAATCATGACCTGACCTTCCATGGGTTGGATACCAGACAAATAGTTCTTTTTCATGTTTTTATATTTCTGGTAAAATTGTTGGATTCAAAAACATTTATGAGAGTTATCACAAGTATTTAGCAGTGTACTATAAATTAATTGACTTCTATTTTCTGGTAGTAAGGAAAAGGAGGTTTTTGTAGTGTTTTGAATTTGCAAATTTGTAAATTTCAGACTGACAGACTGACTGAGAAATTTGCAGTTGGACAGTAGTTTAGTAGTAATACACAGGAAGCACATACATACATGTAGTTTTAAGCTGTAGCACCATGTTGAATTTTATTTACTCAATGATTTCTTTCCATAATATGCTACATGTTCCTTGTTGATTTAAACATGTGTTAAACTGTGAAAACCATAAAAAAACAAACCAACAAAAAAGTTCTAAGATTTTCCCTACCTTGTTTTTGGGCTAGGGCCTCCTGGGTAGATTGCAGCACCGACTCATGAAACCGTTGAGCGAAGGACTGGTGGTTTTCGTGCTTTTGTGTACTCGATGCTTCCTGGCTCCTCTTCTTGACGTTGTTGTGTACATCTTGAGGCCGATACGCCAGCGGTTGTCTGTCGTGTGCAGGGGGAGGGGCCTGTTGTGGGGTGGGGGGTACCGGGGAGGTCGACGCCTTAGCTTGAGGATGGATTGGTTGGAGGGGTTGCCTTTGGTTCGGGAAGGGCGGCTGGGAATGGTTGTGAGTAGGAGGTTGCTGTACAGGGCTGGGAGGAAGTCTCTGTGTGCTGGGAGTCTCAGGTTCTGTCGGTTTTCCCTTTGTGCTGTCTTTACTAGTCGCACCTGGACGAAGAAAAGGAACATACAAGAAATCTGATGAGTGGGTGATGTCACAGAATGTATACAAGTTGGAAACAGCTGTCAGCCATGTTTGTTTACATTCTGGTAGTTTGTGGTGGTGCCAAAAACTGAGTGTGCCTCGTGTGGGCTGTTTTATTAACCCCAACCATAAATGTCAGAAATGTGAGATACTTGCACTAATATGTTGAAAAGTGGAAGTAAACTACAATCATGCAGAGAGTTTTTAAATTAATCCATACAATATTTCAATTTTTGGTGCACAGATGTTACACAATTATTGAAAACTTACTAGTTGAAAGTAGTTTGATGTTTACTAACATTACCAGTAAGTCCTGAAGTATGACTTTTGTCAATTAAAATTTTTGGTGCGAAAATGTTTAGAGACAAGTTTACCTGTGTTGCTAATAGGCCTCTTAGACTCTACAGAAGGGACCTTGTGATTGTTGGTGCTGGGTGCAGCGAGAAGACTCCTCAGTTTCCCTGACTTAAAGGCATCCACTATCTGCTGATCACGTTGCTTTTCTGCAAACATAACAGTCCAGCATATGAGGTGAGGGAAAAGTTTTTATTCTATTCCAAAAGCAACCAGGGTTGAATAATGTTGGTATACTGGTGAAGAGAGCCACCTATCATCTATAATCAGAAGTGCACACATGTGAGCTACACAATGTTTAGTGCACATTAGAACAAAACCAAGACCCTAGGCAAGCGACCTGCCTTGAAAACAATTTCACTAAGCATTTTAACATATTGTTTAATACAAAATTCTGTGTCATTCATTCTTATTTTGACTTATTCTGTGAATATACGTGTGCTGGATATGAAGTTTTTGAACATATTTATGTAGCTCATGCACAGACATGGAAGCCAAGAATGCAATACATGTAGTGCCCTCTGTCAGTTTTTTTGTGAAGTGCATGCAACAATGACATCCACTTTGGTGCTAAGTACTGAATTGTGGTAAGAAGATGATTGTGGTGATGATGACAAAGCAAAAAATTCCAGAAAGAAGTGTTAAAATTAAGAGTCTTGAACACACACCATGTCTGAAACTCTGGACCATCTCTCAAATATTTTAAACATTTTAAAACATTTTATATCATTTAAATTGGTGCGGCCTAGCATACGAAAGTGTTAAAATAAACACACACCATGTTTCTCCTCACCTTTCCTATGTTCCGTGTGCATGAAGCCCAGCCCCATCTCAGCCAGGAACGACTTCTTATCCTCCAGGTTCCCTTCCTGCACCATGTCCTCGGGCGTGTAGGACGTGGTCAGCGGGCTGCACGGCTGGTTCTCGTCCTCGTGGTCAGACTTGGACGGAGACGGGCTGCGCTCCATCAACATCCGCCTCCTCTTCCTCCTCTTCTCCTCGTGGACAGCTGGGATTGGGGAATGATGATATACCGTCAATCTTTTCCTAGACAAATGGTATTCTTAGACCAATCAATCAATCAATGATGCACTCGTCATAGACAGAGATTGGACCATGTGCAGTCCCAAATCGGTCACATTGGACAAGTGGTCGGCTTAGGCAAACCCCTTAATGCATATGTCTATTGGGAAATTTGGGACAGAGAAAAAGAGGCCGTTATGGCCACATGGCCGGCTTAAAGAGGTGGTTGCTTGGGCAAGTTTGACTGTATCATCAATCAATCAATTCATTTCATCATGTCACAACTTCATTGCCCCTTCAGCTTGTTGCATTCAGTGGTGGTGGAGACAAAGAAGGATGACATTCAGTAATACATTCTGTTGCATACATGAATAGTTTCATCAGGTTAGCAAGCCACTGAAGAAAGAAGATGATAAACAGATAATGTATTTCTTATAAAGAAGAATGCTCTTGATGCAATAGTTTCCATGTACTAGTAACGTTACTAGTACTCACCACATTTCCTCTTTTGAGTGGTCAGCCCAAACTTCTCCAGAAAATAAAGTTTCTGAAGAAACAACAAATTTCATGTCAGTGATTTTTGTAAGGAAAATTGGCACAGAAAAGGAAATAAGCATTCAGAAAAAATTTAAACAGTGATTAACATTTTTCACAAGGAGTTCGTGTTCCTGTTTGGTACCTTTGGTGACTCGTCTAGTTGCAACGGTGGACCTGACGCAATTTTCTGCAGTTTAGCTCGCTGGACTTCAATGTCACTGTCACTGTCTGAATCACAGTCACTTCTGTACGTGCCCCTCATCCGGGCCTCCCGGATTTTGCTCTCCTCCATGTCCAGTTTGCTCACCACGTGTCTGTCCTCGTCAGAATCTGCCCTGTTAGTCCTCTGAATTCCCAGGAAGTATTCCGTGAAGGGCACAGAGAGGGCCTTGCTGACGTTGATGTTGTAAGCGAGCTCCGACAGCCTGCGGTGGTCGTACGCGTACTGGTTCGACTGGTCCAGAAACGTCTCCGCCACCCGGTCAAGGTGCCCGTTGATCAGCAGCGACTGCTCGTGGTTGAAGCGCTCGAAGTGATTGCGGAAAGTTCTCTCCCCGCGCGGCGGGCGCGGAGACTTGTCCGTCCTGACCGCCGCCTGATGAGGTCCGGCGGAATGTGGTTTGTCATGATTCGCCGGGGACGTCCGTGCGGGAGGGTGCCTGTCGTAGTCGTACTGATTGGAATGGGCGGCGACTGAGGATGGTGGGGTGGTCGGTATTCTAACCTCGCTGACTGCACGGAGATTATCCAGTGGGTGCTTCGCGTGAGCAAGGTGGAACTTCCAGGGTTCCTCCCTAGTAAAGGAGTGGACGTTCTGAGGGGGTACCAACGGAGGGGGGTGACTGTTGGGGGGTAGGTGGATGGCCTCTTTGCTGTCCACCCTCTCGGAATGGTTCCTCTCTTCGGAGTGATTGTTTGGAGTCATTTCTCTATTTACATGCGAGGGGCCGTGCTTGAGATTAGGTGAAGCTCGCAATGTTCCCTGTGTGAGAATAGAAAAGCAAGGGTAAGTATTATCATTGGTAAAACTCACTTCCCCTCTCCATGTATTTCAAAAGCAGATAACAAAAACAGTCACATCCAAAAATGGATGAAATGGTAGGGAAAACCTTTCTTTACAGTAGTATGATAATCACAATATTTTTACTTGTTTTACAAAAAAGTGATACAGAAAGGAACTTTCTTAGTTTGTCCACTTATTCAGTTATCAGACTTTCAGAACATTTGGTCATCCCTTCACCTTTAAAAAAAAAGCTGGTTCAAGTTTTTTTTTTGCCTCAGGCCTTCCACAAAAAACAGCTGGCAGTTTCTCCCCAGAGATACTGCTACAGCCTTAAACCTGATGTGGGATATTATTCAGTGTCAGTCTGTGTTAACGTTTCCTCTTCTGCATACTTCACAACAGCTGGAATTAATATGTCCATTAATCACCAAACCCAGGAGAGTTTATAGACAGTCTAATATTTGCCAAATCACCCAAAAATTCATAGAACGATTTGTCAATTTTTCTTTGAATTCTCAAGATGTATCTGTATAGCCAGTGAAAAAAAGTATTACAGCCCATCAGCTTAACCAACTTTGCAGGCATGCAACGTGGCGGCAGCTGGCTATATCATGCCGAATGACTTGTTACACCTAATCCTTGCTTTACACACCTAGCTGTAAGGCTTTAGCATAGTTTAAAGCCCACCATGTTGACCCTACTACATGAAGGCAGTGAATTCCACTCTGCGATAGTTCTAGGAAAAAAGTTTTTGAAGACCTCAATCCTCGGTACTCAACTGATGCTTGAAGGCATGACTAGATTTTAGGTCGTTTTTGAGCTGGTTTTAGGTACTTGTAGTTGGTACATTTACAGTTTATTGGTCATTTTGTTTAAAGGGAAATCTTTTGTTCCAACACTAACCAAGAAGGATGAACTTTCATAACAGTACTAGTCATTTTGTACATCATGCAAAGTCTGGACTTTTTTGGACAGCACTGACCTGTTGCTGTTGTAACAGCTGCTGTCTGTAGCTGGACACCTCCTGCTGTCTCTCAGCCTTCTCCTCGCGCATCTGGCGCTGTCTGCTCTGCCAGCGCTCCTCCTGGTTCAGCCGCTTCATGTACTGCTGGTGCTGGAACTCCATCTGCACCAGCGCCCGCGAGCGGTCCCCGTTACTCAGCTGCGACGGCGTCGGCGACGAGATGTCGTGCCGTCTGGACGCTGAGGTAGTCGGGGGAGAAAAAAAAGAGATTTTAAACTTTTTGTCATGACAAATGATACCAGGAGTACCGGTAATTGGTTTCAAAATATTTCTTGCTGAGACCCTGATCTAGACACCAAACCAGCATAGTTGAAGGTGCCTGCCAGGTTGCAAGCTATCTAAAAAACTTTTTGATCATGTCATAGTGTTGCTCAATGCAAAGCCAAATGAACACTTCTAGGCACTGAGCTAGATGGCATGATAGACATGACTATGACAAAAGTACCAGTTTATCAATGTACTGCATATTTCATGTAACGTATTGTGACACGCCAGTCAATATCAATAAAGCTGGAGTTTTCTACAAAGTGCAGTTTGCATGTGAATGTTACGTGTCCTGAAAAATCAGTAAAGATCAGTCACAGTCTCGAACATCTACCTTACAGCTTATCCCTCAACCTATTCAATCAAATTTTCTGTGTATTATCATGCTTTTCTTATATATTTCTCTTCAAAACTATATTAGAAACATAAAAAAAACAAAACAGTAATTGCTGTTATCAAATGGGAGAAGCCGTTTCACCCTAACTTCTTCTGACAGTCAACAAGTTTCTCACAGCTACTAAGCACTGACTTTGAAAGGTAAGGGACCGAGCGCGACCTTCCCGTTCCACAACCTTTGATTTCAGAAATGTTATTCAGTACGACACTGTGTTGAAAGCTGCTCTAATTTGCCTGCCTCCTGCCACCTCTGATGACCAAACCTGTTTGTCTTCTGATAGGAACTTTGGCTTTGGGTCGTCGAGGCATTCCCAGAACATGAGTCAGCATTTGAGGGGACATATTTCTTTGAAACCTGGTGACTGGCCGGTGGCCAAAGCACTGGAAGGCAGTCAATAATACCGGGAACTACTGACAGGTGTTGAGGGCTTCATCCCCCGGTAGGGCATACTACGCAGCTGGGAAAATACGTTTCAGTAGCATGGGAAGAAACAGTTGAAAGATGCAGATATGACTTGCTGATTTTGCATCGTATGTTTTAATGGTATATCGAAGCCGAAGTAAGGAAAGCCATTGCATACTCTGACAATACAGACATGTCCAGTACATGAACAGCAATAGGTGGATGCCCCCCCCCCCAACCCCATTCTAATAATATGCTGCCTGCATATAATTAAATTGGATGCTTTTAACAAATGAAGAGTCTAGTCAATTTCTATGCCTAAGTCCAACCAACTCTTTAAAATGTAAAATCTGGTTCTTCATTAACAAATGAGTTTAAAAAAACTCTTACAGCTTATGTCTCCATTTTGCACAGAGTGGAGTCCTGGAAAATGTGACATCCTGGGAGACTGCTTGTCCCTGGCTTCTGTCCGCGGCCGCTCTCGCTCCTTCACCAGTATCACGTCTTTCGTATCCTTCTCCGCCGTGCCGTTGGCGGCAACTGACAAGTTCTTTGGTTCCTCCTGAGGCCTATCCTTGTCTCTGTTCCTGTCCTGTCGTTCTCTGTCTTTGTCCTGGTGGTCCTGGTCGTGATTGTTTTGGCTCCGTTCCCTGGACTCCTGTTCAGCAGCAGACCTGGAGAATGTAACACAACAGTTCATAAACAAAAACAGTGCTACATGAACAATGCCATCTCAAAGTTTGTTGTTCTTCCACAAGCCTCACAATTACTGGCTTTCTGATACAAAAATTTTCCCAATGCATACAATTACAAAGACAAATTGAATAGAAAACTGTAGTGCACGTTTGATATACATTTCATTTTCTGTAAGTAAAGATTTCATTTATTTGGTGGTTCATTTTCTTGTGGTGATTCATTTTTGTTTTATTTCATCCAAAACAAAAACATAATTTTGGCAACAATCCACCTCCCACCTTTTGAGCTTAGAGGTCAAAGTTTACCATGTGAGTCAAAGCTTAGAGGTCAAAGTTTATCCTTTCAGTCAAAGGTTAGAAGTTACAGGTTTACCTGTCACTCCCCACAGCAGGGTGCCTGGGCGAGCCGTGCAGGTAAGGGGTGATCATCTCGTGGGGCGGGTACCGAATGCCGTGCATGGAGATGGGGAGGCCGGGGGGAGGGTGTCCGGGTAAGAAGGCACTGTGGGGAGGGGGCACGGGCATGAAGGGGGCCCGCAGGCCGGCCAGACGGTACTGCTCGTAATGGTCCTCAAGTCTGGAAACACAAAAAGGTGACAGTCAGTTTTTCACTAACTTAAAAAAAAGGGATTTGGATGAAAGAAACTGAAGTAGCTGATAGACAGAAAACTCTGGAGGGGCACTGTTATATTGACCAATACAATCTGTTACCTTTCAACAGTTATCATTCTCAGTCGTATTCTCTTCACAGAACTTTATTGATTTTGGAGTTTGTGATAAAAATGGTCATTTACTCACTTAACACATATTTCCCCATCTCAGGTAGAGGGATCCTGGGCCCTACTAGGGTCTGGGTTGGCGTTAGGAAGGGCGTCCAGCCATAACAAATATTGCTTCAAAGAAGACTTAACTTGATGCAAGCACCCCCAGTTTTGGGGAAAAAAGATGTTAAACTGGATAGAGAGAGAGATAGAGAGACTCTCTTACCTGAATGCTGGGTGGGGGAATGGCGTCCCAGCGAACAGTGCGGGGTGATATGGCGTGGAATGGTAGGTCGGCGCCGACGCCATGTCGAAGCCGAAGGGAATGGGCAGGGCGTGCCTGATGTCCTCGGGACGGTAAGGCTGGAAGCCGCGTGGGCTGGACGACGTGTGGTTGGACATCTCCTCAAGTCCGATGTGGTGGGGGATCGGCCTGCTTGTGGAGAAACAGGAGTCCAACAGAAACAATTGAGAAACAAAGCTTTCAGAGGCCAGTAGAAAAACTGCTACAGACTAAAAAAAAGGTAAGTTTATGTAGTGAAAAAATCAAACTGGACTCCAACTCAAAGAAATTTAGACTCACCGGAACTTTCCATCAAATCCCTCAGTCTTCATCAGCTATCTGACCCAAGAACTTAATACACATTATTTTTCCCACGTGTGACATCAGCCTGTATACAGTGCTTGGGCCAGGTAACTAACGAAGACTGAGATTTGGTAGAAAATACAGGTGAGTCTAATTTCTTTGAGTTGGAGAACAGTTAACATTTTTTCACTATGTCAACTCAGATGAACTATGGGGTATAATGGTAGGACTTAGATGTAGGTTTTTTTTAGGGTCATTGGAGTGGAAAGCCTGGTCACTCTAGAACCAACGACTCTGAAACTGTGACAAACTATAGAGATGTACTGAAATAGAGAAAATTAACAATGTAAAAGTTTTAGGTAGACATTTCCCCTGACCTGTGTGGTACCCCGAGGTCTGAAGACTGGCTAGCCGGTGTGGTTCTCTGTTGTCCAGTTGATGGCCCGGGGGTCACTTTTTCTGTCTTGACCGCGGGCAGGTGGTTGGAGTCTGAAGACTTGCTCGAATGGCTACTACGTTCCCCGGACGGTGGCCTTTCAGAACTCTGCAAGAACAAAACCATTTTTGTATCCATGAGACTTTGTGAACAAGAACACTGCAACATCTTAGTATTCAAAGGACATCATATTCTGCACAGAAAACACTTTCTTCATCAGTTCATAACAAACTACATGAAGCATCTCTTACTTTTTGGTACCCATAAGTAGTCTACAATACAATACAGGCAACCGTTTTAATTTCTGTCAGCAGCATCCCATCTTTGCCTCAAAGATATCAGTATGTTATGGGATAGGATTGATGCACCAATGTATTTAATTTCAACTTACTACATTACAAGAATGACCGGAAATTTGACTTTGAAAATCCAGTTTTACTGCCCTGAAATCGTCTTGCATGCCTTTAAGTCTTAGCCTGGGTACCATCCCCAGTAGTATATTCGCAAACTCTATAACTGGGTCTGGACTTGCACACATATGTAGCGTCTGGAGTCTAAATATTCGTTCAGATTTTGAACGAGCGCGCTGATTGGTCCTACTCGTCTAAGCCCTTTTTTGGGTGTGTACATATTAGGTAAGGGCTGTTCGGATGTCCGAACGGCGACGTTAGCGTCCGTTCGAACGTCCGAACGCCTTATCATCAACATGTCCGACGGGGAACCGAATGCTAAAGCGCACATGATATAGCCGTAGTCAGTCTTTCCGTGATAAATCATCAACATGGCTAACGCACAAGCCGTTCAGCTCACGGAGGTTGATGTTGACCTTGCAATCACGTCCGTTTTGGACGATTTAGACGGAATATCGTCGCTCAAAAATGAGCAAAAAGATGCATTGAATAATTTTGTTCGTGATGTTTTGGGCGTCCTACCGGTAAAAAAAGAACGCACCGAGAAAAGGAATACTCGCGCGAAGATCTGTGTTTACAAAACAACAAACATCACTTGAATAATGCAGGTGCGCCATTGGCCGTCGCCTCTGAGGCTCAGCCAATCAAATGAAGCCCCGCTGCTCGGGCTAGCTCATTACGTGACGTCATGACCAATCGTTTTATATGTGTGCAAGTCCAGACCCAGTTATAGAGTTTGCGAATATACTACTGGGGATGGTACCCAGGCTATTTAAGTCTTGGTATGGCTTGTCATATTTTTTACTGAGGCAGCCTTTTATACATATTTCACCACCGTTCAGCCAAGGGCAATTTGCTAGCATTCCACATTCCTAATATTTCATGGAACTTTGCTGCTCAAAAATGCTGGTCATTCCGACATGCATGACAAGCCTTCAGCAATTTTTGGTATGGAGAAGATTTTTTTGGACAAACAACACCAGAGTTTTAGGATGGGTTTACACACCTCTGACTTTATGTTTGTCAAATGCCTCCTTCTTTTCTCCCTACAAGTTAATTTGTTGGTTTTCAGATTTTATAAAAATATGATTAACTGGAAGAACATAATGAAAAACAAAGCCTGAAAACCAGGTCTATGCCTTGGTGCACTTACTTTTAGGTAGTGAATACAGTCATATTGAAACTTTCTCCCTGCAAATTTTCCTTCGCTTTTATGATGTCTGTTTGCTATACACGTACTAGTATTTTCACCTTAAAAAATGACTATGAACCAAGGAAATAAATTGGTGTGGCCTAAAGCCTTACCTTTCTTCTCTCTCCCGCGTTGCTATAGGACAGGGCTGCTCCGATTCTGGGAGACGAAGACTGGTGTCCGGTCAGTGAGGATGACCCCTGACGACTGGGTGGTTTCGCTGCGGCCGGACTGTGACTTCCCACTCGCGGAGGAGAGGGAACGTGCTCGGGTACCGACCCTGGAGCTGGCGTGGTACAGAGGATACTCATCTTAGTAACGACGACACGAACGTTAAAGTGGCATTATGTAACATTTTTATACCAGAAATTGAAATATTTCTGTATCATTACATTTGACATATTTGTACAATTTCTGACATCATGGTTGGTGGTTAAAAACAGTCCACATGAGGGTACAGTTTGAGGTGACAAAAAACATTTGGCAGAAAAGACATACGCGCTCAGGTGTCATCCATATTATGAAATTGACATGGCCTAATGATTGTTGTACTAAAATAAATACCTGGTGGATCAGTAGCTTGTTTGGCGAGCTTCCTTAGTGCAGCAGCGAAGCTGGAAGCACCACCATTGTGAGAAGAGCTGCTGGCTGTAACAGAAGGGGCGCCACCTAGTGTACGCTGGTGAAGTGGAGAAACACTCGACGTTGGATGTGTAGGCGTTGCTACCATGGTCAGTGGGGGCGGCTTTAGGCCTGCGTGTCAACACAAAACGTACAAGGTAAACAAACGAACAGTCACGGATCCCCCTTTCATCTATTGCCCAATATTTGTTGTGCTTTGTACGACTGTTTATTGTGCTCGACACGTTCTACTTTTATACGCTTTCACTCTCCATTACAGGAGTCCCGCTTGTCGTAGCTGTGACTTTTACGCATCATTGGACGTGTAGTAATAGATATCCTTTCCAATAACCAGCGGAAATGCCTGCTTCTACTCCACTGCACAAACGTATATATTCATCATATGTGACTGCTGTGGCATCAATAATCCTTTTCATCCACAACGTTTGGTAAGACTAGTGGCTTCCCAACTCATTTCTGACACATTTTAATTCCGGCTTTTTTGGAGCGACAACAAGAATCCTGTCTTGTCTGCACTTTTCTTTGAGCGCAGTTACATCGCAACCTTGAATTTGTGAACCTTGAAGGTGAACAAATGGGTGACTTTTGTAATCCACCAAAGCAAGCTACTAGGTGCCGGGACTTTCATTCTGTACACACTCCCCTGCTTCATGCTTACACAGTTCAGAGAGAGTGTGTTTGCGATTGTCGCACAAAGCTAACAGTCCGTGCCAGGTTATTTGAACAACAAGTCCGCCAATAAACCTGCTGGCTGGGTCTATATCCTTATTTATAACAAACACGGCGGACAAGGCATGGCCTGAGCAGACTAAACAATCGCACCCCACACTCCATTCCCTCACGACACAAAGGGACATAAGGGCCGCCCCAATGTTATCTTTTAACGGCGTTGTTTTGCTGTCGTTAGCTTTGTGCGGTAACACTAAACATACACAAAAGGTGTGGATGAAAGGGCAGGTCGACGTGCTTGCCGTGTAGATTAAACATGAGAACGCAGGTGAACAGCCAGCAGCTGGGTAAGCAAGATAAAGGTGCCAGATGGCTCGGGTGTTGTGCTAAAAACGACATTATTTACAACTTTGTAGCCCCGTGCTAACCCTGTATGATCGCATTAGTATGCCTCCGACAGCAACTTACAAATCCTCGGATTGATTCTAATTCCATTATGATCAATTTTACAGTTATTTTCATGCCTTTATTAAAGCCATATCTGACAAAGGATGTTTTAAAAAAATGACATATCGTAGTCTTACTCCTGTTATTGGTATGGTTTATCAAGATTATAACATTTTGGATCGCCTGACATGGCTTGGTCTGGGAATTGGTCACGGACAAATACTTTATCATTTTGGTTTAGCAACTGCATACATCAATTTCAATCTCCCATTAAGCATAATTTCTTCCTGAAAGTGTCTGACACCGGGAATGTTCTAAGGGATTGGGAAGCGACGCCGTCGTGAAATAACAAGGTCTCCTGGGAGGAGGATTCTCCGGTGATAAGACGCTTTATCTGCGGGACTCCATGCAAAAGTCAAGGGCACCCCATATCTCTCACCGCCCACACGCACCGTAAGTGAAGACTACAAATCACCAAGGCTTGCATCAGTAATCATTATGAAAACAGCATCTCAAGTACTCAAGATGCCTTCCTGGTACTAGATTATTACAAAATCGGGGGATTAAATTGACTAATGGCCTCAGCTGCGAAGAGATGACTCAGGAAAGCATCGTGACTGAGCATGAAAAATGCCACATTTATCAAATTATACAGCCGACTATTGAATCATCCACCATCAGAATTAGAAGCAGTGGAATATACGCCCGGCGTAAAAGGCATTGATTACGCAGCCATTACCTCGAAGGAGCCATTTCGGAGTCCGCTGCACTAAAAATGTCAGGAGGGAACAACATCAAACCATCGCGCCGCTGGTTATACATCGTGCACAGGGGGTCTCTGATATATCAATTACATCCTTACATTTACAACACAACACAGGGACTAAGTATTGGTCTTCAGCCAAGGGTAAAGCAATGCCTCCCTTAGTTCAAGTACAGGTTCGCTCCCTGATACAGATTACATGCGAAACCGGTGCCCGTTTTCTGTATCGATCGCGGTGTGGAGTAACAACATACATCATACCTTCTGCTGGGAAGAGATCCAGTTTACGGTAGCACCTTGCTCGTCAATGGAATATCAATGCTGTGGGAACCGACCATGATACAAGCAGCTGTACAGCTACAAATCAATGGAGATTGCACAGTCTGATAAAGTGGGGGGGAATTTACAGGGGAACCCATTAGGATAGTGGCAGATTCACACTCAAACAGGGGCCTGACAAAGAGATAACAATCAAGGATGTGCTAAGATAAGGGCTAACAATCTGAGAAAGGTCACCCTCCAAGGCTCCTCCCACTTGGGGATGGATTCGACTGACAGTTACAGATTGCTCTGTCACTTTCAACAGACATTTCCAACCCAGTCTAGGTGGAAATTGAAACAAGATGTTTTTTTTTTGACAGCTTCCTGCCAGGCTCACAAGGGGAAGGTGATGATAAGATGGAATGCTGCCAGGCAAATATTTTACCCCACTGTTTATTCACCCAAATCACATAAGAGCACCCTGCTGTACAAAGCCAATTTGTCTTGTTTATGTGGCGCCAGACGAACCACCTGTTTCCTAACTATTAGTTGCCAGGAGCAGGGGGTGATGTTTGCCTAGCACTATCGCACCAAGAAAACCTCTTCAACGGGGCCTCTCGGCAAGCAGCGAACACCACCGGAGCACTACTGTACCGTACTTTATCGCTTTCAGACCTTGGCTTGTCTAAGCTTGGCTTAACTGGAACACAACCCTACGACGTGCCCTTGTGTAAGTGCAATTGCAGGGCACACATCCGCTCGGGG